TTGAGACGCTTCCGCAAGGGACTTGGTCTGATCATGCAGCTCCTGAACCTGAGTCTCAAGTGCGGCCACCCGCTTGTCAGTGACGTTGTCTGAGTCCACTTCCATCGCACTTTTAGGCAATTGAGCCATGACCTCCTGCAAGACCTTCTGGGCCATGTCTTCCAAGGGATTGCCAATGGGAACCGGAACTGCCTTAGGCCCAGAGGCCAAACGTCCTGCTGCCTTTGCCCAGGGATCATTCAATTGAATGTAGTCTGCCTCAACTGCCTTGGCAACCATGGACTCCGTGGCTGAAGTGGCAACCACCTTGGGTGTCGGTCTCTCCTGAGCGACCTGGTCTTCTTCTTTGGCAATCATGACATCACCATGGGACATGCGGATGACCTTGCAAGGAGGATCCTGAACCGACTGAACCCGGAACATCAACCCTTGGACATGTGCCTTGGCAGCTACTGCTTGGACTGGCTTCGCAGTCCAGCCATTGGAGTGCAGGACCTGAGCTACCGAAGATTGCAAGGTTCCATAGGCAAATGGCCCAACCAAAAAGCTTTGACGTTTGCCAGGCGGCAAGAACGTATGACCTGGACGCAAGGTGGAAAAGACCGACGCTGCATGCTCTGATCTACATCTCAAGCCCATCTTGTTACCCATCCTGGCAAGACCGACAACGTGTTGGACAGTCTGACGCTGCAGCAGCAATTGGGACTGATCAGCTTTGGGCATCCACACCACCTGAAAGTCCGGAGACGGCTGTCTCCCATCAATGGCCTTGGGTTCAAGATAGACCCCAGCATGACCTGAGAAGTGTTGCACTTGAAGTTGGAGGTGCTCAGGCAACCTAAGGTGCGCAGTGAAAAGTTCCGACTGGTCTGGTGGGGAGCTACGAAAATCCAACCTCAGCCACTGCTTACCCCACAGCTCAAGTACCGGTGTTGGCATAGGAAAATCCACTGAGCTATGCCAACTCTCACACCCACAGCAATCCTCATCTTGGCAGCTTTGAAGCGGAGGCACCTGAGAGAAAATGTGGAGCAACGGATGGGCAACAACCTCAGACCAGGGTACAGTCGTTTGATCACGGTAGATCATTGCCTTCACCACGCAAGTTGGAATAGCTTTGACCTCGCATCCCTGCTGAATAGGGGCACGCTGAACACCAACCGCACCAAGTTGAACCAAATGGCCATCAACAAGTAAGGGCTCGGAATTGACAGCACAAACCAGAGGAACACGAGCAGCAGTGACATCAAAATGAGTCACCAGTGGTGCCTGAGCATCGACCACAAAAAAGGCCAAAGGTCCGGAGGAAATCGGATTGGCAGCTTTCAGGTAAGGTTCAGCCGCCTGCGCTGAAAGAACAACCACCCCTGCCATGTGCGGTCCCACCTGCGAAAGTCCAAGCTGAGCCAGAGACTGATCCGAGGCACTCTGAAAAATTCCATGTTCTAACCGCAAAGAGGCAGGGTCAACAGCGACCGGTTTGACTGGCATGCCCTTCCCTTTTCCCTTGGTAGGCCTATGCTGCTTGTGTCTCTTGTTCCCAACCGGCTTGTCTTGGGCTCTGCGCTCAATCTGCATTTGAAGCTCGGAAGGCTTGATGAGCATGTAGGGCGGCCGGAGTTGGTTCCCAAGCCACTTCAGTTCTCTCCAAGGGTTATCAGAAGCAAGAGCCGTTGTGACTCCACCCTCACCCAAAGCTTTCAGAGTTGCTGCCGCTCGACCATTGGATTCTCCTGCCGAAACTCCATGCTGCACCAACACATCAGCAAGACGGGATTGAAGAGACAGACCAAGGCCAGCCAACAGAGGACGTACACATGGATCCCCAAGCTTGTTGCCAAACTCAATGCGCAGGCTCTGAGAAGTGAGACACAGATCTTCCTGATCAGCAATCATAGTCCAACCCCACAGCAGGTGACGAACAAAAGCCAAAGCCAAAGCCCCACAAAATCCATCAGGAGTAAATCCAAGGCTGTGTGGCTGCCAGACCCCCTGGGCTCCCCCCCGACAGACGTCAAAGACACGGGCCAACCTTTCCATCACTGATTCACACTCCGTCGTAACACTGACAGTGTGCAATTTGGCTCCCACAGCATCAACTCGCCAGACAAGTGGTATCCAATGACCCCCCAAGACAACGGCTGACACAACAGTGCACACAGGCCCAAGTCGATTGGCCAGTGAAGTCCATGTGGTAGGATCATCAGCCTGCACAAGACCTGAAATCAAAAGTGGGTCCCACACCGTCACATGTTGATCTTCAGCTGTGTCTGTGGCAATCCGTTCAAGTCCAAAAAGGATCTCATCATCCCCCCAAACTGGACCCTGGACTGCCAAGATACTCAATCGTTCAACCTGTGCCATCTCTGGATGTCGAATCACGGAGAGACCAGACAAGGACGTGACTGGACCAGGCACGGATGCATCGGATGCTCGGACGAACTGCAGAAAACCCTCAATGTCAAGACAGCAAGGCACTACTTGTTTCGTCCTCAGTTCAGCTGGATCCCATGTTGGGGGCACCACGGAGACGAGGGACATGTGAGGCAAAACTGTGTTGAGATCCATATGTTCTCCTTCCATGCGCAACTGGGCTTCAGTGTCCAAAACTCCTAACCGCCTTTCTGCTGTCAGCAAGTCCAACCCTGTGGAATTGGGAGACACTCGAATCTGGACGTCATGCGCATCAGTGCCTGGCCATGTGACTGTGACAAGTGACCTGGCAACCATTGGTTCATCGTCCTCAATGGGATCATCCAAAGTAGGTGCCACGGCTGAAACCTGTGCTGGGATGGGCCACCTCAGACGGCAGGCTTGAATGACCTCGTGCATGTATGCTTGAAACATGGCCATGGGGTCACACGGGGGAAGATCCAATGCCAAATTCAAACACTTGTGCACTTGGGCGAAAATCCAGTGTCCCATCAGTGGTGCCACACATTGACCTACCCCTGCCATTGCCAGTCTCAAATTGTGACCCATATTGACTTCAGGGATCCCTCCCAAAAGCGCCCACATCTCCAACGGATGTAAATACCTGGCATGGTACATACAAGTGTTCATGTGAACCTGTGATGTTCCAAGAGGCACCAAAACTCCAATGAGCCCTTTTTGACGCAGGCGCGCCTCTGACAAGGCTGCACGGCAACCACAGGCACAGGTGTAAAGCTGATTGCCAGCGCTGTGGAGAAGTGTTGGCAACTTCTCGTGATCCTTCAAAAAGACCCCTGACATGCCCCCAGCTGCATACTGGTAGTATTTGGAAAGCTCATACAGGTTCAAGACAATTTGAGCCTGTTCAAATTGGGGCCAAGGCTCAAAGGACGGGATCAAATCTCGAACAACCTGAATTTGGCTACACTGAGGCATGTCCAACAGCTCACAAATGGGCACAACCGGAGCAGTGAGCACAGCAATCCAACGATCTCGACGACTGCACCATGAGTTGCTCAGCTTAAGGATTGCCTGAGTCATCCTGAACCCTGTGGCGACAGTGAACTGCCGCAAAATTTCCTGTGCCTGGGAGTCACGCAGGATCTCAGGGGTGCATTCAAGGATCAAAACTGCAGACTGCAACAGCCAAGCAACCAACAAGGCACGAGGAAGGGATTGGGCCCTGGGATCGGCCATACCTTTGCGATCCCCAAGGATCGAATGGGGCTGACAGGCAATACCTGCACAAACAACTCCATGAAAAAGTCCAAGACGCAGGAGTTGCTGCAGTACAGCAGAATCCAACAGGTCACCACAGCAGAAAACAGCCCCTTCATGCAAGGTCTCATACAACTTACGCCACATGCCGTTGTGATCAACCCCAGCACACACCTTGAAACCTGCCTTGGCCGCAGCATAGGAAAATCCACCCATACCAGCACATAAGTCCACTACCCGATAAAGGTCAGGCCGAGCACACGGGGGAACAGGGACCAAAAAAGTGGTGGCATCAACTTCAAGCTGCACAGGAACCACAGATGTCACCTGTAGATCAACCCCGGCCACAGTTGCCACATGAGGGAGTTCACCCTTCACCCAAACCTTGACTCCTCGGCGATCATGACTTTGCGCCAAGTGCCATCCACCAGCTGGATCCAAACAGATCAAGGTCAAAACGAGGCAGGCCCTTTGTCCAATTACCAACGATGACCAGTCCATGACTTACCCTACCACCACAAACCCCTCAGGGGATCAGCTAGCACCGCTCTACTTACTGGTAAGTCCCTGAGCCAGAGCTCTTGAAAAATATTAGTCAATGGGAAGGATTATCCCATATATTATGGAAAATAATAAATGTTTGAAACCACCAACCAGTTAGGATATATTAGGATTCGGATATATACTTACTGGTGCTAAACGCAGGGAATGGATGGGTTGCTGGGGGTTGCTGGGATGATGATTACTAGTGATTATGGATCGTTCCCGAAAATTCCCTGCGTTTAGCACCAGGAAGTATAGCCACGCATTGTTAGATCTTAGACACTAAGTTTGAAGAGGAATAAACTGAGTTCGCCCACGTTTTTACTCTACTTTATTGATTCAAAGTCTTGAGTCTTGCTTTTCCATGGCAATTTCTAACGTGTTCGAACGTTTTAAGATGCAACATCTGCAACATCTTCGGATAGAGGTGATTTCCATACGGTGGTACAATATATGGTACCACCATTTAGTGTCATCAAACATAGCGTGCTGGAAAATCCACCATTTAGTTCGATGATGTTCCCATCTGTAAACCTCCATGTGCTTCGGGGATTTCCCAGCCATGTTTGATGACACCAGAGGGTAACTTCAACTACATCCACACAGAATCCCTATTGTTGTTGGTTGAACCCCCATGACTATCCCATTATTATCCCAGTATTATGCCATGATTATCCCCATTTTGGTTAATGAAATCTCATTAGAACCCCATTTTTGTCGGTTAAACCTCCATTATCTCCATGTTTACCAGAGGGTAATGGTGAACATTTCAGGCCAATGTCTGCCCGGCTGCATCCGGCTGCCACCTGCTCCAGCTCAGCTATCCGTATGCCTTGGGTCAAGGCTGACTCCTGAAGATATCGATAATCATCCTATGCTTAATATAGCTATGTTAGAATAGTTTTAATAAGTAGAGTGTCCCATTATTATCCCACTAAGATGGAAAAAAAAATGGTATAAATATCCCCTACTATTATGAAACACTGTTCCATTATTATCCCATTGTTATCCCACTGAGATGATAGATAAATAAGTTGCCCAGTCCGTGAAATTCTTCCAAGGCACCCCGTCGGAGCTTGGCAGTTTCTTCCAGAGCCGAGCTCAGGCCTTTGACCAGACGGATCACAAGGGATCATTCAGGGAAGGGGAGACAATCCCAAGGAAATATGAAACACAAATATATATATATAATTATATATAATTATATATATATGTATATATATATATGTATATATATATATATGTATATATATATGTATATATATATGTATATATATCATATAAAACTATATATTCATTGGGGATCATTTTGGTGGTAGATCATATCATTTTATGATCCAAACAATTTGTGTTGTGGACCCCCTATTTTTTTCATAGATCCAGCACATTCCACCAGGAGAGGTATGATCGGGTATGTAAGGTATTTACTTCAAAGGAAAAGCGATTGTGTATGTATATATATATGTATACATGTATATATGTATATATGTTTATATGTTTATATGTATACATGTATATATGTATATATGTTTATATGTTTATAAGTTTATATGTATATTATGTATATTAATGAGGCTACCTCCAAATCATCCATTCTAGTGGGATTTTCCATTGCAAACCATCCAGCTATTGGGGTACCCTTATTTCAGGAAAGCCCCATATATGATGATCTTGGAAGACTTAAAGAGGCATGAGTGGCATGGTCAGGATACTGGTAATTAACCATGGCTGGGAAACCCCCTTTCCGAAATCCAAAAAAAAATGGAGGTTTATAGATTTATAGCTAGCAAAATCCTCTATAAATTCTATAAATGGGGGAGAAACCAACGTTCTTTGGGTCATCTATTGGGTCTCCTGGATGTCATCCCCCATCCACCGTGCCGGGAGTGCCGGACGTCGTTCTTTGGCATTCTGTGCCCATAGATTCAGTGCAGCCCAAGCCAGGCTGTCAGCCTGCCGCCGTCCTGCACCGCAGCTGATTTCAGGCGAAGTGTGGATGGAAAAAACTTGGCCAAGGCGTTTTGGCTATGGAAAAGTTACTCGTTGAGCAGGTGATCAAAGAACTGCATCCAAAGTAAATGCCAAAATCATCCAAAATCGAGGTCTGAAAAGCCTTAAAAATAGAGCTAAGATGAGTCGGAAGTGTGTCTATGAAAAAAGAACAGGCCAAACCCCAAGCAATTGCAGTATGCAGGAAGCGTTGGTTCAATGGTCCAAGTACCATCTTCAGGAACTCCAAATCATGCGCACAAATCTCCAGTGAAGTATCCAGTTCACCAGGGTCTTTTATGAAAACCCGCTTGTTCCATCATCCGTGAGAATCCCAGGGGGAACTTCCAGCAGCCTTTGGCCCCCGATTTTTAACCATCGCTGGCTTCATTGCCATGGTCCCCACCTCGGCTCCGCAGCCAGCATCGAAGCCTTCGCTGCAGCAGCGCTTCCCGCTGCTGCAGCCGTTTCAGCTCGGGCCGCTCGGGCGCTGGAGCCACGTGGGCCACCTGGAGCCAAGTGGGATGAGATCAGTCGGCACAGAAGCAACAAATAGCAACAACAACCAACAAGAAAGAGACTTTCTGAAAAAACAACTGGAGATTTGTCCAACAAAAGACAACAAACAGCCCAGGCCTCTGTCCAGCCGTGCCAGTGCCTCCGCGGGGGTGTATTGTGCAAACATGTGGGGCTCTAAATCGTTTACCCGAAACAAGTACATTTGGTTCAACACAAAAAATCTACAGATCTGGTTGAAATATGTTATAATTCCCCAACCTGAAAATAGCTCGTATCATACGGCCAGCTAAGGGGACGGTTCCCATCACTGGGGGCCATGAAAAATGGAGACTCAGCTGGAAAGTGGGCCGGCCAAAAAGCGAACAGATCCGTTCCATTCCATCCTCCCCAGAAAAAACTTGGTGTTTAAAATCCATATCTGGTTTAACAGTTTAACGTCAAACACGTAAAACAACAAAAAACTATATGCTGTAAATGTCTGGTGGTTATTTGTGTTTGGAGCTTAACTGTTTTAAGCCCATTGTCGTGGATTATACATTCCCATTTTGGCCAGTGAATCACCCTGCGTCAAACATTGGACGGCACGGGCTGCCTGGTGGACAGCCTCTCGACACGCTCACGTTTGGGCAGCTCCAAGCTGCCTGCTGAGTCGCCAAACGTTGCATCCCGATATCAAAGGGTATGGATATTTACCCTCACAATGATCTTATCAAATCAATCATACAGGGAATATGAAGCATTATGGGATATATAATTATATATATACACGTATTATAATATATATATATATGATATATGTGTGTGTAATATATAACCAACATTAATCAACCATATGATATCTGGGTGTCTGGAAATGGGGTACGCCCAAAAAAAAATGCATGTTCAAAGGGAAAATGATGATGCACCACTGGTTGTGGGGGGTACCCTGTTTATACCTATTTCACATATAATTCCTAAATCATATTATTCTATAGCCTGTTGAGATATTGATCAACAACATGTTGGTGTTGGGTTGAGAATGATATGGGCTGACAGTTCCTTGAGAATGGGAATAGTAAGTTGCAAAACAGGGGACAAATGCGGTTCAACCCATGAATCATTCTTGGTTGATGGTTGATGGTGAAATATGGGTTTGTTTCAAACTGATGGTCCAGAAACACCATCAGATCATTGGGAAACGTATGATAAACCATAGGTTTTAAAGGGCTACTGTACCCAAATCTGACCCTGGTACTCTGCTGTCGAAGATGGTCCGTTGACCCATCTGTATGTTGACCAACGGCCTTGCAACCCCTAGGGATATAACTGCTATGACTGGGAATGCGAAATGGAAGCACTACGATACGGTATGACACAGCCTGGCTGACCAGGACCTGGGGGCTTTCCTGGTGGAATGTTTGGGGCGGCTGAAAATCACATCCAGCTTTCCAAATAGGGCACCCCTAATTTTTCTATGAGTTCTAAAATCCTCATCTGACAAACTTGTATCCATTCCCCATGAGAAACCGAGATTGCAATAGTGTTCAGCCGGCCGCAAAGAGTCAAAAACTTCCACCCACGATACGTCCTCAAACTTGGTGACCTCAACCATGACTATCGTAGTTTTCCTCGCTGTGGAGATGTCACCGCCATTTTGGCAGCCGAAGGAAGACAGCCGCGCGCCCCCTTTGGGTCATCCCGGCGCCAGATGCGGAGCATAGCACTTGGGATGGCCCGGGATGTCTGATTAAACCTCTTTTGGCCAAACTTTTTTTGCTACAGCAAATCATATGTAGAAGCCCACAAAGAAAACAAATATGCTCCAAGTTGTGTGGGTTTGTTTTAACGCCAAAGTTACGCCAGTGTCGCAATCTGGATCTGGGCATGACGTAAAGCTGCAATCGAAACACTGTCCCGATGTCGTCATCCGTTTCCGATGATCATGGTCGACAATGCCATGAACCTCCCATGGGTGACCCCATCGAGAATTGCTACCGCATCTGGGTCCTCCGCTTCAGATGAGTAAAATTGGATCCGTTCATCTGTAAACTGTGGCAGTCTTTGAACAGATTCCAAGAATTCGATTCGAACAACGCCGCGTGGCGACCACTCACTAAAAACTGGCGCCCAAAACTGAATGGAGGCAGATTACCAGCAGATGCTGGCTTATCTAAGCCATATCCATATATTCTACGAACATTTACCACCTAAATGATCCAAATGACCCTTTAAATATACGTAGGTAATATCGGTAAATATACCAGCATCCAGGACGTCTGCCTCATCCCACCGCTTCTGCGCGGTGGTTTGGTGACAAAAATGCTGGGGGAGATCTTGGGAGCAGTGGGATGAAATCTTAGCTCCAAAGTTCCAAATCAATGATGTACAGTACAGTATGTATCCATTCCCATAGGATCCATCGTGCTGCTATATATGGTAACATGGATCCCATCAATATACCCCAAATGTTAGCATATATACCATACATGGATCCTATGGGATTTGGAATTGATTTGGGCGTTCTGTCCCAGAAAAGGCAAACTTTTTTTCCATGACGGGCCTTTCTGACTGCTTCCCTACTGCACTCCGCCATCAAAAATCCGTGAAAAAAACAATGTAGTCTGCGATGGTCCTACGAACCGTAGCATGTGGGCCACTCATTCTGTCGCCAACTTTTTGCGAATCACCTGGGACTCTCAATCGGGCAGTGGATTTTTGCTATGAAAAGATGCTGATGGTTGGGATGTCAACCAACCAAAATGAGGATATCCATAGATCTCCAACACCAACCAGCTGCGAATACATCCCAAGAATATGATCGTAAGCCGAGGCGCAAGACGCCCGAAGTCATGACAAAAGCGAAGATGATGCGAATCCTCACGGTGCGGCTGGCATGACGCTGGAAAAACGATATGAGGCTGTGTCTGAAGACCCCAAAATCATGCTATCCTTGGTAAATGTGTTTGGGGTTAGTGTTTTACCAGTTGAAAATATTGTTTGGTAAATGTTTGCAACAACCCCAACAATTATTGTTTCGTAGAATATATCTTAGAATGCTTCTTGGTATTAGGAAGTATCCGAACCCCGACCCACAGAAAACTCTGGAATGCTCCGAATCAACATGGTGCGAACTTGTTGAAGTCCTGGGCTGCTCCGATGGGTAGTTCCTTTGCACTGGGGCTGACCACATGTCGAGACTGGCTGCGATACCTGGAAATCTCGGTCGCTGGAAATCTCCAGGTCGGTGCATTCCCATAGATGGAGCATGTGGTATCTATACTTTCTGAGTCTAACATCAAAAAGTGCACATATACACTCCATACTATATGATATTATGTTAAACATACATACATACATACATACATACATACATACATGACGGTTTGCAGAAATTTGTCTTTTCCTGGTTTGGCTGATAACTCGTAATTCCTTGCGTGCCGCTTCTTATTGTGGCTTTAAAACCATGACTGACCTAAACAGTCTGAAACCCTGCATTTTATCTTTCATGTTTGAAGCCGTAGCTAAAACCTACAGGAAATGCTAAGGCGCGTCTATATGAAGTGGGTGCCGCTGCTAGTTATTAGTGATGGAACTGGAATATCTGCAGAGTTGGTCGTTGCCTTTGCTGTCACTGTTGCTTTGGTCAAACAGACAGGATAAACTACAAGTTCTCTGGTGGCGACTGGGTCACGGGTCAACCAAAGCCGTTTTTTGAAACTTTTGCTAGCGCATTGCTTATAATTATATTGTATTGTTTATATATATATATATAATATATATATATATATACACATATATATATATACATATATATATATATACATATTCTGACTCTACTAGTAACAATTTCGATCAACAGCTTGCAGTTCCCAGCATTTTTCGCCGCACCTGGACCCTGCTCTGCCACGGGTGGACATGGCCGTGCGATACGTGGCAAAGAGACGCGGTTGGCTCTGGCATTGCGCAGCCAGTAGCGGGTTGCCCCAGCTGTGGCGGCTCCTGGGTGAATCTAGCCAGACATGGATTAATGGATGTACTCTATATATGTCCATAACTCCATAACCCAAGCATCCACTTTTACTAGATAAGTATAATATATAATACATATTATATAATGTATAATATAAAATAAATAATAAATAATATATGATATGTAGTATATAATATATGATATATAATATATGATATATAATATATAATGTATATATATATACATAGGTACATGTCTTTGTACATGACTTGTTTAACTATCCGACCTGGTGGGCTCTACATGGCAGTTTCCAGCATGTGCCAAGCATCAGCTCATCAATGATGAAGCTAAAATCACGTGCCTCAGTCACATCCATCCCATTGGGAATCCGACCATAATGGGTAAATATACAGTATACATACATATAATACTATATATAAAGTACTTCAGTGAACCAGGGAGGTTTAGTGAATGGGGGAGTTTGAAAGACAGGAGAGTACGATGGGTTATGATCGGTATAATGCTATCAGCAGAAATTTGGAATATGAGGGGTTACAATGGGTGTAAGTTCTTTACCAAGAATGGGGAATATGATGGATTATGATGGGTGCAAATTAAAGGTTCTTTACCAGAAATAAGGACGACATATGATGATGTATTATGTTGGGTAAGGAATATGATGGGCGATGATAGGTATGAAATATAGGGCTATAAAACAAAACCTATTCCCAACATCCCCAGCTCAGCAATCTTGTCGCGTGGCATCTTCAAACCTGGACAACTTCAATCCTGACAAAATGAAAATGGTCAGGCCCTCAATTTTTCTGCCGCTGCGATCAGAGTGATGATCCAACTAGAATCAGGCAGCCATGACCCTGCCATGAGAAACTACGGTCTAATCATCTTTCATTCCGTTTTCCTCAGCCTTCGTTTTGGTGTAGTACTTGGAGCCATCCGGGCTGATGTAGAGGGAGAAGGGTTTGCCCGAAGTATTCTTGTTTTTCAGCACCACCTGGGCGACTGGGTACTGTAAAATATAAACAACAGTATATGTTTATCAGACAAGTTGTCACATACACATGTTGAATCTACAGAATGTTTTCCAAATTATAAGAAAAGGCCATATGTGGGTGTGAGCCCCTGACCTTCCAACCATTTTTCGTTTTGCGCTCGGACACGATGGTGGCAGGTGCTCTGCTGCTTGCCTTTGGGGCTGGGATCTCCTCCTCAGGTGACCCAGGTGTTTCAGCGGTCTTGGCAACCTTGCTGTTCTTGCGCTGCAAACTGGAAGCAGGGCGTTTGAGGCTGCTGGTCTTGGGGTCTGCTTTGCTTGCTGGCCTTTTCATTGCTGGGACCTCCTGTGGTTCTGTCTCGCCTTCATCCTCACTTTCTCCCTGCTCCTTGTCATCGTCGTTTTCCTCTTCCTGCGCATCTTCACCTGCCTTTGGTTTGGCCCCCCCCGCATCACTCCCACGCGAGCGACCACGGCCACGGCCACGCCCTCGTGCACGTCGTGATGCTGGTTTTTTCAACACACTGGCTGTGTCTGGCTTGGGCTCGGCATCTGACTCAACTTGAACCTCAGCCTGCTTCGGAGTAGAGGAAGTTGCATCAGGGGAATGGAAAGGTCTCTGGTTGGCAGGGCTTGTCAGCGAAGTGTGGGTTTGTGCTGGCTGCCGCTCAGCTATGCGAACGGAAAGGGTTGCGCGGATACGCTCTGCCACCCCCAAAGCACTCCCAGGTGCAAGGGAATCATACATGGCGAGAGGCTAAAGTTAGCCAAGATTGAACGCAGCAAAACCTGGAGCCGTAATGTTAAATACCCATCTAAATCTTCGAATTTGTCAGT